GCACTCTACCACTGAGCCATCCACCCAGCCCCTCACTGGGGGATTCCAGGCAGGCGCTCTACCTCTGAGCCACACCCCAGCCCCTCACTGGAGAATTCTACCCAGGTGCTCTACCACTGAGCCACACCCCCAGCCTTTCACTGGGGGATCCTAGGCAGGCGCTCTACCACTAAGCCATTCACCCAGCCCCTCACTGGGGGATTCCAGGCTGGCGCTCTACCACTGACCACACCCCCAGCCGCTCACTGGAGGACTCTAGGCAGGTGCTCTACCACTGAGCCATGCTCCCAATACTGTTCATCACTTCTGGAAGAAATTCATTCCTGAGTGTCCCAAGATTTCTATTTCCTAACCCTTCAATGCTGAGGAAAGGCTGACCCCCCGAGGATTCCAGTTTCTCCATGGAAGGCGTAGTAACGGGCCTCGGTCAGATGGAGCTCTAGGAGCCAGGATTTAAGTTCACACTGACATGGGACCAGGACATCTTTCCTACCAACAATGATTCTGAATGTAGATTAAATCTCCCCAAAGGCCTGGAGTGTATAAGTGGGAGAAAACAAGACCAACTGCAGGTTGTCTATAAAATCTGACTTAGCGAGGCTGGAGAGGCGGCTCAGCAGTTAAGAGCACTGACTGCTCTTGCAGAGGACCCGGGTTCGATTCCCCGCACCCACATGGTGGCTACAAACCGTCCTTAACTCCAGTTCCAGGGGAATCCGAAGCCCTCTTCTGACCTCAGCATCGCACGACACGGGTGCACTCACATACACGCAGGCAATACACTCATACAAATAAATAAATAATAAATAAATAATTACATACATATAAATAATTACATACATACATGCAGGCAATACACTCATACAAATAAATAAATAATTAATTAATTAATTAAATAATTAAAATCTGACTTCGCCTTTAAGAACACACACGAACTGAAAGTGAACGGCTGGAGAAAGATGTCCTGCGGGACTCTGTACAGGTATATGTGCCTGAGGAGTGGGGATGCCTAAGCTATTTCATCCAGGTTCAAGACCAAAGGCACTAAGAGTAACTGAGACATCTTCTGTTAGCCTTTCCAGTGTTCTGCCCTAAACCCCTAAAGGGCACCTGCAAGTCTAAACCATTGTCCTAAACCTGAAGTCACCTTGGATCCCAGGAACAGCAGAGCTTGGGACAGATCACCACCTTGGCCAAGCAGGAGCCACGATCTCCTGACAACCAGCATCTCTCCATCAGCAAGGACCTTCTTCAAACCACCTTGCCAAGCCCAGACAATGCCCACCCGGCTGTGCCCCGGTCAGGACTGTTTACTTAGGCGCACCTCTTCCTCCTCTTTTAGTGTTTAGTTTAAATTTAAGGGGCATGTCAGGGGCTGTGAGATGGCTCAGTAAGTAACCTCCAAGTCTGATGCCAAGCCATGATATGGCATCAATTTAAATGAAGTTTATGTCAGTACCCCCCCCCAAAAAAAAGAGACATGAGCTGGGCGTGGTGGTGCACGCCTTTAATCCCAGCACTTAGGAGGCAGAGGCAGGCGGATCTCTGTGAGTTCAAGGCCAGCCTGGTCTACATGGTGAGTTCCAGGACAGCTGGAGCTACAGGGAGACCCTGTCTCAAAAAGACCAAAAAAAAGAAGAGACCAGAATCACTGAAGTGAAGCCTTAGCTTTACTGGGACAATCGATGCTGGTTCATTGGGGCTGAAAAATCAGCTCTGAGTAACAAGAGACCAGCATCATTACAGTGAACTCTTCTGAGAAGTATTTCCTCAGGGTCCGTACACAGAAGCTGTGGTCCGGAGGGGGTTTGAGTCTCCATCTCTAGATGGAAGCAGGACCCATGTGTCTCTTACAGGTCACAGAGAGCTCCTGAGGCTTGGCACCCTGAGAGGCCAGAAGAGGCCACTGGTGAAGGTGCAGCCTCAGTTTCAGTGGAGACCCCAGCACATTGGAGATGTCAGCACCATGGGACAACCACCAAGGGCAGCAGCAGGTCCGAAGTGGAGCCCTACCGAATCTATGAGACGAGCTGTCTGTGCTGTGGACGGCAGAGCCAGAGAAGTAGAGCTGCCCAAGGCCTTCGGAGCCCAGAAGATCGTGACTCCCAGGTGTCCAGCCTTTGCTAGACTTTGGATTTGCTTAAGTGTGCCTGATTCTTCCCTTTTGAAATAAGACAGTACTTAACTTATTCTGGATTTTACAGGAGTCCACAGTTAAGAGAATTTTAAGAGATACTTTGAACTTTTAAAGTGTTTGAATTTTTAAGGAGTATGGGACTTTTAAAGTTGTACTGTCTGATGTAATATTAACAACATATCTTGGGGACAAGAAATGGAAAGGTTGTGGTTCAATAGTGTGTGCTTGTGTGTCAAGTTGACAAGGGTCAATTGTGCTGGACAGCTTCAGTGTCAGCTTGACACACCTGGATTGGGGGACTCCCAACTGAAGAATTTCCTCCATTGGATTGTCCTGTGGGCATATCTGTGGGGGCATTTTCTTGATTTTTGAATGATGTGGGAAGGCCCAGCCCACTGTGGGTGGTGCTACCCCTGGGCAGGTGGGCCTGTGTTGTATAAGAAAGCAGGCTGGGCAGGGGCCAGGGGAGCAAGTCAGTAAGCAGCGTTCCTCCATGGTCTGTGCTCCAGGTTCCTGCCCTGAGTTCCTGCCTGGGCTTCCCTTGACGATGGACTGTGCTATAAGCCAAATAAACCCTTTCCTCCCCAAGTTGGCTTTGGTCAGTGTTTTTATCACAGCAATAGAGAAGCAACTAGAACAGGTTCCTAGTACCCACATGGCAGCTAACAGCTCCTGCCTGGGCTTCCCTTGACGATGGACTGTGCTATAAGCCAAATAAACCCTTTCCTCCCCAAGTTGGCTTTGGTCAGTGTTTTTATCACAGCAATAGAGAAGCAACTAGAACAGGTTCCTAGTACCCACATGGCAGCTAACAGCTGTCCATAATTCCAGTTACAGGGGATCCAACGCCCTCTTCTGACCTCTGTGGGCATTGCATGACAAGGATGCACTCACATACACGCAGGCAATACACTCATACACATAAAATTAAAATATTAAAAAAGTAACAGTAACAAAAAAACTGAAGATAAACAACAAACACAAAAATTACAATACAAATGTTTCAACAAACAATAGCGAATTCTCCTGAAACAAATGAAGACATAGAAAACCCCTGAGAAGAAATGGAGATCATAAAAAGAAGCCAGGTAGAAGGCATCTGTGGGGTGGGGGCAAAGACCTAACACCTCCGAAGGGGACGGGACTACAAGTCTGCATAAGAAAAAAGGAATGCAGACTCAGTTTCCCCTACAGTCCACGTGCAATGCAGACCACCAATGTGACTTCCAAAAGTCACCCCCATCTCAGGGAGACACACCCCTATCAATGCAGCCCCACCTGCCCAGGGCAGCTGCAGGTCCCAAAGGTGAGGCTCCATCCTCCTCCCCGTTTGGTGTTGCCCCAGGCTGTAAGTTGGGATCCCCACAACCTCCTCCCTCCCTTACATGGCCTTGTTCTAGTGACCCCAGAGTTTGGACATGAGCTTATTGAATCTGTTTATTAGAAAAGACACAGAGGAACAGATGCAGAGAGCTGGGGTATTGGGGGGATTTGGCTCTTTCCAGACTTCCTGAGTACCACCGAGCTAAAGTTCAGAAGTTTCCAGAAGCCTCTCAGCTCCGTGCTAATGGTTTCTATAGAGACTGTGGATCAGGATCAGAGAGTTGGCCTGGAGTTGGTCAACCTCAGTCTCTCGGCCTCCTCAGAGGTGGGGATGGGCAGAGCTAATCAGGTTGTGTTCCCCACTCCTTCCCCTGTTCAGGGGGCTCCTGTGCATTCCAAAAGCATATCTCAGAAATTCTGGCTGTGTCTGTCTGCAGTGCAGCAGAAATGGAGACTGGTACCAAATACACATCTCTGCTGTGTCCCAGACAGCAAGCCTCAGTCGCTGGCATCCATTCCTGGGGCCCTGGGCCCCTTTCCCCATCACTACCCCCTTTCTCCATTCTGGTTCTTAGAAGGACATTCAGAGCTGAGTGGTGACTGGGGTATTCATCAGGCCTAAAGATCTGTCCCCTCTATTTTCCTTGGGGAAGCCACCCACCCTCTGCTGCTGTCTCTAGGGGCCAACACAGCGTCCCATCCAGTCTCACAAAGACCCTTCCCTGCCCACCACCAACTGGAATTGATTTTGACAAGCTGTTGTATTTGGACCACATTACTAGACTGCATGTGGCTGTGTCCAACTTCCCCATTGCCCCCCCATACCTCCCCACCCCATCTGATTCCAGTGTCCCAGCACCTGCTTCACGACTGCTTTCTTTCCAAGCCTGCCTTGCAATGGGGGGGGGGGTGTTGCTGTGGCACAATTCTGGCTCCTGGATGGTATGGGGATTTGACAGAAAGTCTAAGCTTTGGCTTTCCCAGATGAAACAGACCAGTGCTGCATGGTGGCCCCTCCCTGGGCCCACCAGACAAATAATGTTAGAACCATATAGACCTAGGTGTGGCAGGGCACAGCTGTGAACCCAGCACCCAGCACGAAAGGAGGAAGAATCAGGAATTTGGCACCAGGCTGGGCTACATAACTTCTAGGCAAGACCCTGTCTCAGAAAAGCCCAACCCACCCACAGAGAGCATGGTTCAAACATTAACTCTGGGTTCCCTATTTGATAATAGATGTAATATTTCCCAGATAGCTTCTCCATCAGTCCCTCCTCCTAGAATGTCAAATAGCTGCTGGTAAGCTCTGTGACTTAAGCCCCATGTCCTGCTCCCCTGCCTGGAGTGCTGATCCCTCATCACCATCCCTCTTGGAACTGAAATGCAACTTTTGATACAAACTAACTCAACTCCATTTTAATGTAGAAAAGAGACATCATGTACATAAATATGATTTGGGGGTATAAATAAAGTAAGAGAAGAGATGTACATACGAAAATAAATTACTCATAAATACCATGCCGGGAACTTAAGTGCTGGGGGAACAATTTCACGTTTCCCCTGCTGTTTTTGCAAGGTGTTGGCAAAACTTGGGGCTTCTTAATCTTGTCGCTGGTTTGTAAATGAGGGGTGCACACTGCCACAGGCAGTGGGGACACCCCAGTCTACATAATGCCTGGGCAAGAGGTATAGGAGGGCTAGAGAAACAAGTGGGTGGTCCAGGAGCCACCTGCTCACGGGTTAGAGGGCACTGGGGGGAATATGGAATGCTGAAGCCTGGAGTCACGTGACCAAACAACCTGCTGGGATTGGCTGTTCACACTGCCTGCCTCTGCACTGGGACACAAGTGGTCACTTCTGCCTGGTTTGGACTAGAGGGCAAGGGGGTGGCCGGCTATTATCCCTAATCTCAACACCAGCCTGGGGGAGTTCCCAAGGTTTCCTGGAACCAGAGCTCCGGCTGCCCTTGTTATCAAAGTCTGTGAGTCTGTGGACCCATCAGTTCTGAATAGGTCCCCGGAGCTGAGACCCCCATGGGGTCCAGTCAGTCAACTGATGCTTCAAGCTCATCTCCTGTACGTTAATTAAAAACATCTTCTTGTCTTCCACCGGTACCTGCTGAAAATGTTGTAGAGTCACAGATTTGGCTCAAAAATGAGGAACTGTTCTGCTGGGCCTGAGTTTCCCATCTGTAGAGGGAGTGGCTTAGCCACAGATCAGCACCCCCCAAGGACAGTGGAGCTCAACTGGCAGCAGGCAGGTGGCCGGCTTGCAGTTTGCGATCATGTCTCGCTGCTACATGCCCACACAGTCACTGTGAGACTCGGAATATGTACAACTTCTACGTTACTTCCTAAAGGGCCTGTTTTCTGCATCACTTCTGGAAGCTGGGACTCTTCACCAGCCCCACGTCGTCCACCATCCGAAATGGGTCCATGCTGTCAGTCTCCAGGGGCAGAGACAGCATCTCGGATTCCAGCTGCTCCCTGGTCTCCTCCGAGGTCTGGGGCAGCATGGGGAGGAAGTAGGAGGGCCGAAGGAGGCTTTTGTTAGTGAACTGCTGCCTGGGCTTGGCCCCGCTCAGGGCCACTGGGAGGTGATGCTTCGAGGACCTGTACACGTTGTAGCCAGAGTAGTTAATTTCCTCCTTGAAGGCACAATCTTCCTCTGAGTAACGAACCTGCAGAAAAATGGGCAGCCATGAACACAGGTGAGCGCTGGGCTGGCACCCTGTCCCCAGAGCCACCCGTCAGTGTTCTCCTATAACTTGCTTAGAAGATCATAAATCAAATCTGTAATCTCAGCACTTGGGAGGTGGAGGCAGGAGGATTGGGAGTTCAAAGCCAGCCTGAGTTACATAAGACCACGTCTTCAAAAAGAAACAGAAAGTGGTAGCGTACTCCTTTAGTCCCAGTACTCAGGAGGCAGAGGCAGGCTGATGTCTGTGAGATCAAGACCAGCCTGGTCTACATAGCAAGTTCCAGGCCAGCTGGGGCTACAAGGAGACCCCGTCTCAAACAAACAAACAAACAAAACAGAAAAGAACCTGTTGAGATGGCTAATGGGTAAAAGAACTCGCCACGGAGCCCAAGATCTGAGTTCAATCCTGGGATCCCACACAGTGGAAGAAGAGAATCAGCTCTGACCCCACACCCATGAGTAAATAAAGGTAATGAAAACACGGTAACATTTCATTAACTATATCCGGATAAATAAGCTTCAGGCATGACTTTCGTATGTATAATTTATGCATGTAGTTAATTATCTGGCTCAGTCTTTTGTTTTAATACTTATGTATATGCTATAGACTTTACAGAACACCTCACTATTGTCTTTTTATTTATTTTAAATTTATTTTGTTTATTTCCGTTTTATGTGTATGAGTGTTTTGCCTGTATGTGCACCCGTGTCATGCAATGCCCACAGAGACCAGAAGAGAGGGTCTCCAGGGATCCCCTGGAACTGAGAATTACAGATAGTTCTTAGCTGTCTTTGGGAGCTGAGAACCAGTGCTCGTAACTGCTGAGCCATCTCTCCAGTCCCTATTTATTTATTTATTGAGACAGTCTCATGTCTCCTATGTAGACTGGGCTGGCCTGGAACTCAGAGACCCATCTGTCTGCCTTTGCTGTTGGGATGAAAGGAATGGGCCTTGATTTGATTTTAAGACAGGGTCTCCTGTAGGCTACACTGACCTTGAGCTCCTGATCCTCCTGTCTCCATTTCCTAAGTGCCAGGATGACAAGTGTGTGCCACCATGCTGGGTTTGTGCAGTGGTAGGTGTTGAACCCAGGCATTAGTGCATGCCAGACAAGCACTCTACCAACTGAGCTATATCCCAAGCCCTGTCAGGTTGTCTAGTTTTTTTTGGGTTTTTTGTTGTTGTTTTCTTTTGAGACAGGGTATTTCTGTAACCTCAACATCAAGTCAATCCTGCTGCCCCAGTGCTGGGCTGGCAGATGTGTCACCAGGACTGACTAGCACCGGGATTATGGTCCTATATCATAGTATTCCTATAGCCACAGGCAATGTGCTAATCTCTCTGGTCTTTAACTAGTGACTTTAAGATCCTGTATCGTTTATCAGTTTCTCAAACTGGGTTTGCCTGTTGTAGCTTAGGTATTTTCTCTGGTCTCACCCGCAGCCTTGCCTGGGGCCAGTCTGGACCAGCAGCAACAGGAAACTTTTCTGATGCTGATCCCTTTATTTAGTCTGTAGCCATTGTGAGCATCCCCCTCCAGCCCCCTTGCAGGCAGCCTGCCAGGATCTGCCAGATAATCCGCAGCCCCTCCCCCACACCCAGGACCAAGCCTGCACCCGGTGGGTGGCCGGAAACGTGTGCTTCGGGTCTCTGAACCTTCTAGACCCTGAGATGGTGGTACTAGTGGGCAGTGGGCAGCTTCTTTCCCAGATTCTTATCATGTCCCCTTGGGGACAGAGGAGAGCTTGAGTCTGGGAGCTGGGCTTGTTGGTAAATACGATTGCCCATTTCTGTCCTATCTGCAAAGATCACTGAACTGCAGGTGAAAGGGCAAATCTCTGATAAGGTTGATAAGAAACCAATTCCAAGAACCCACTTCTGCCCCAGCCGGGGATGGCATGGGGATGGCACCGGGACAGCCACCAGGCAGTCAGGGTCTTGCCTCCAGGAAAATGCAAAGGGAAGCCTTTCATTTGGAGAGTTCTTTGGGGTAAATTTGGCCATCCTTTCTCTATTCAGAAATGAACTGACCGTGGAACTTCTATTTAAAAATAAAAAAGGATGTGCGTGAAAGCGACGCCCACTAGATCCGGGGTAGACACAGAACAGGGGTGCGGTGCCCCTCCAGCCCTCCACAGCCCCACTTAGAATTAGGGCAGAATGGGTGGGGGTCAGACCCTTTCTATTTACATTCTGGCCACAAGTAAATATTTAAGTAACACAACATGGCAAGAGGTTTGCCCAGGCCTGGAGTGTCAGCTTTCAGCTACCGCGGTCCTGTGGTCTGCAGCCCCCGTTCCTTTCTATAGACCCGCAGACCTTCCTTTTCTTTGTTGTCTTTTCATGTAGATAAATGGATCTCAGAGCCACAAAACAATTTTGAGACTCTGAGACAAACCAGCCTGGCTGTCTTCTCGGTAGGGGAACCCCTGCCCCCAGTCCCTGCAGCTCCCAGGAGCCCAGGACTGCAGAGCCTGGCCAAGAGACCTCACACAGCCTTGTGCCTGCCGAGGGCGGGCTGGAGCCGCTCCCTTTGAACTCCCGGCCTTTGTTCCCAGACCCCAGGCTCAGCAATTCCCACTTCCAACCTCCTAGATTTCGGGGGTTACCTGAAACGTGCCAGGCCATTCCCAACCACCACTCTCCCAACCCCGAGGCAGGTGAGCCGCTTGGAGACCTGCTCATTCTAAAGTCTTACATCACATGGTATTCCTGGGATATAAAAATTAAGAAGACGTTTCACTCAAGACAATTGTTTTCTGACAAAATTTGACTATTTTTTAAATGATACAATGTATGGATATATAGTATTTTTTCCTCCCTTGTTTTTTTTTAATCTACTTGAGGGAGAGAAAAGGAGGGGAGGACCACACACCCAAAGGCTGGCGCTGTAAAGGCGGGAGGTGCATTTTCCTGTTCAGTATCAAAGGGGCCCAGGCTGAATGGGGCTGGCCCGCCAGCGAAGCCGGCCTTTGGAGCAATTAGACACGCTCCGCCGGACCTTACTCTTTCTCCCCACAGCCCCGGGCCATCCACTTCCGCAGGGGAGGGGGCGGATAAAATAAAGGCACATTAGCTTTAATGGCCATCTTTCCCTCAAAGTTCCAATTGGGCCTAAGAAGGAGATGGGAAAACCCAGATCCGATGCTGCGCGACCCCGCGCATCCCGCCGCGCGGGGGACACTCACCAACCCTTGTATCTTGCCGTCCTCGCTCATGCAGAGGTACCGGACGCTGCTGACATCCTTGATGGCCACGGTCTCCAGAGCTACAGCCCGTATCTCCAGTAAACCTAGGAGCAAGAGAAGTTTAAGAAACTGCAGCCCGGCCCGGCAACACGTGGGTACCGGGGCCACATCTTTGCACTCAGCTCAGGGTGCAATCTGGGGCCTCAAGGAGGGTTGCTGGGGCCACTGGTCAACCCCGGGGTCCCGGGAGTTACTGGGGCTGTGCCGGACGGAGGGGCCGCGCCGGCGCGTACTCACTTCGCTGGCTCTGGCCCTCCTCGCAGTCCACCGCCCCGTCGCTACGGATGCGCAGGAAGCAGTTGGAGACGCCGTAGGGACCCGCGGCGTACAGGTGCCGCAGGCGGATGGGCTGGTCCCAGCCGTAGTGCAGATGTGGCCCTTGGTCGGACAGAGCCCGGGGTCGCCGGGCCAGGGGACGCCCGGACACGGCCAGCCACAGCGTGGCCAGGACCAGCGCTCGGGCCACCGCGCATCCTCTCCGCGCTCTCCACATGGCACCTCCGGAGGGATGTGGTGGCGCGGCTGCAGGGGCTGCCCGGGGACCGGGATGCGACTGGAGGACCGGAATGCGTCGCGGGGACGGGGTCCGGGTGGCCGTGGCCCTCGAGGCAGCGGGGCGCTAGGCGCGGGGCGCGCAGCGCTGCTGCTCCGAAGGCACCGCAGCTCTCAGCCCGACGCCTTATATACACAGCGGCCAGCCCCGCGGGTAGGTGCGCTTTTCTTATCGGAATTGCACCAGGCCTCCGCCCCCCGCACACACCCACTCAGGCCCCGCCCGGGACGCGTGACCCCGCCTAGGAGGAGGAGTCCCGGCTTGGGGTCTGGGTCCCCTGAACGAGTGTCCAGGCGCCGGAGCCCGGTGGAAATGTTTTGTTTGGTTTTGTTATTTTGTTTCGCTTTTAAGACAGGATCTCACTTTGCAGCCCTGGCTGCAGGAACTCGCCCTGTAGACCAGGCTAGCCTTAAACTCACAGAGATGTGCCTGGTTTTCTGCATCCAGACTGCTGGGATTAAAGGCGAGCACGCGGAGCAGGGCCCATAGATTTTTGACTAATTGAGTTTAATTCTTTATTAACCACCGAGGTCTCCAGGTCATGGGCTCCGGAAGGGATGCGCTTGGGTTGGTTACTGCGAGAACAGAAGGCCAGGGCGCACGGAGGTCTGCCTCCTTGGTCCCCTGTTTGGGCCTTGTGCCCTCCCAGATTGGAAACCCCCACATACACACTGTATGTTCTCACGACCCCCCCCCACCCTGTCTTCCTAGGAGTTTGCCCCCCACTGTGGTCCAAGCTACCCGCTGCGCTGCGTAGACGCCGTGGAAGCGTCGCGCGCACTAGATGGCGCTTCAGCTCGAGTTTCGGCCTCCGCTGCGCTCCCCGCCGCGCCCTGCGCGTCCTGTGCCTGCCTCACGCGTGGGGCCCACCCGGCAGGGAGGGTTGGGGGGCTCCGGGTCTGCGGCCTTCTGGCAGGGGGTGGTGGGTGGCCAGCTGCGGGACGGGTTGGGGGGCGCGTCGTGTCTGTCGGTGGTCAGGCCCTGGGGTCCCCGAGCGCGGGGGACAGCTGCTCACCGGTGGGGAGGAGGCGAGGAGCAGCGCTGGACGTTGCTGGCGTCGGGTCAGGCGCCAGGTGGGGGGAGAATGGGGCCGCGCCTGCAAAGAAAGGAGGTGACCTGCAGAGAATTCTCCGGCCTGGAAGAAAGGGGCGTCGCAGGGGGGCTTTGGCTCAGCCCTGATCCTCCCTCATTATCTCTCCAAATCCCACTCCTGGATGTGGGGCCCCAGGAGGCTGGTTTGGGGAAGGAGGTACCGGCCCAGCGATGCCAGTTCTAATGAATCTCAATAAAAGGCCACATTGAATCCCCGTCAGAGCCGGGCGTTAATGACACACTGCTCCATCCCAGAATGTCACCAGGAAAGCCTTTTTAAAAAAGACATCACCCGAAGGCTTTCTGGACCCGGGACTCCCACGCTGTGAGGCTTGGTTCATAGAACCTGGCTTCTGTAAAATCTAATTACTTCCCCCCTGTAACTTTCAATCGACAGCGGCCGCTATTAAACTTAATTGCCTCCCCCTGCCGCTTTCGTTTTAAAGTCCGTGATAAATGCGGGGTACTGGGAAGGTTGGCAACTGCCGCACCGAGGAGTCCCCCTAAATCCGGCTGGGAGGGTGTGGGATAGAGGTTGGTAGTGTCCCATCCCCCCACTCAGCTCCCTTCGCAGGGACGTGGTGGAAGAGCCGGTGATGTTAGGGAGCTTGGAGAAACATCTGCAGGGGTCCTGGGCCCCTGCAAGGATGCCCCACACCCCGATTTCTGCTCCCTCCTCTGAACAAGGGGAAAACAGGCCAGAAAAACGGCAGCTGCCACCCACCCAAAGCTGGGCAGTTGGAATCCAGACAGGAGGGCTTGTAAATGGAGCAGGGTCACATGTGCCCGTGGTAGGGTGGCCTGTATTGGGGTTCCTGGGGAGACCTGTTGCAGATCCACAGCTGGCCACTCCTTGGGCACACGGTGAAGCCTGGTCATGTTACCTTGGCCTACTTCTGGGTGGGAAATGGTGAGTCCCGTAGAGGAAACGGGGGTCTAGAGGGCTGGGAAGCCATTCACACTGAGATTGAGAGCCTGTGCCATTCATACAGAGAACAGAGCCCCCAGCAACGATCTGGAAGTGAGAGGTGAATCCTGAAGGAAACTGAGGCTCACAGAGACAGACAGTGAGGGAGCGGGAGTTGCCCAGAGGTTCCAATACTCAGGCCTGGGTGTTGGCTGGTACCTTGGAGGAAAAGGAGAAAAAGGCCAGCAGGGGGCACTGTTGTCATCTGGCAGGCTTTCCAAACGAGAGCTGAGGTTGCCCAAGCTGGTGAGGCCCTCTCAGCCTCTGGATGCGGATTCCGAGTCCTCACGCCACCCTGCAAGCCCCGGATGCAGACCTGGACCCCCATGCACCCACAGATGCATCCTTGGAGCCCCCAGTGAAACCCTGTAGCCCCCAGAGCCTGCTGGGGTGGTGCTGACACTGAGTTTCTAAGCTGAGGCCTTCGGGACTGAGAGGTGTGGGTAGCAGGTGAGCAGGGTTCTGGTGACCCCTCCTGTTCTGCGGGACCCACATAGGGTCCCTGGGGGGCTGGGACTCAGATAGCCAGGAAGGCTTGGCTTGGGGACTTTGCTGGGGATTTCTCCCTTTTAATAATTTTTTATTCTTTGAAAGTGCCATGTGTTTATTGCATGCATCCGTGCATATTGATCATGACCATCTACCACTATCCTCCAGCTCCCTGCTTAGCGCTCCCACCTCATCTCTCTCCAAGTTTCTTGTTTTCCACTCTTACTTTGTTATTAATAAGCCCCCAAGTCTGATTAGTGCTGATCATGCACATGGGTGTGGGGTCATCCGCTGGGGCCCAGGTGAGTCCTGTCCTCAAAGGGTAGTGACTGCCTGTTCCTCAGCAGCCACCAACTCCTCACACAGGAGCAGGGGATTTTGTACTGAGTGGTTTTAGTTTGACTTGATAGTTTGCAGTGCTGGGAATAGAACCTGGGACGACACACATAGTACGCCTTGAACTCACAGTGTAGCTGTGGTTGACCTTGAACTCTTGATCCTCCAAACCTCTACCTCCTGAGTACTCTCAGATCTAGGCTAGAAATCACTTGAAACGGCCAGTCCTGTGTTCCACAACATCCTACACTGTTGCTCCTAGAAGTCATCTCCATCTGAAAGTCTACTATGGGTCATGTGTGTGTGTGTGTGTGTGTGTGTGTGTGTGTGTGTGTGTGTTACTCCTAGAAGTCATCTCCATCTGAAAGTCTACTATGGGTCGTGTGTGTGTGTGTGTGTGTGTGTGTGTGTGTTTACATGTGCGTATGTATGTGTATCTGTTGTTTTGTGTGTAGATCTGTTTATGTGTTTGTGTATACATATATGTGTGTGTGCTAGTGTGTACACTGTGATCTGAACACGTGTACATCTGTGTGAGTGCATGCACAGAATCGTGGGTACATGTGTGCAGTGTGTGTGTTCTGTGGCTGGTGCAGTGGCAGAGGCTGGTCTCTGTCTGGTAGGCGGACAGGCTGAGGAGGGCGCCCTTCCACCATTGCTGCTTGCACTAGAACCCAGGGAAATACAACTCAGGCCTTTTCTCCTTCCTACTGAGAAGGGTGTGTATGTGTGTGTGTGTGTGTGTGTGTGTGTGCATGGAGCATACACATGTGACTCCCAACCCCAGGCCCAGCACAGTCTTGGCATGGATCCAGCTCAGTTAAATGAAGGAGTCAGAAAGACAAGAGAGTGTATAGGAAGTCCATCCCAGCCTCCCAGGAGCTCCATGGCCTCCTCTGCCTTTCAGGCCGGTCAGCCAGCCCAGAGCCACACCGCTTCTGAGGAATTTAACTGATACTGCAGCCAGGTTCCATCCAGCTGCAACATCACAGGGTGAAGTTGCAAGTCTTGCTGCTAGAGGCTCCCCTGGGTGTCCTGGAAACTGCCCTTGACTAGCTCTCCCCACCTAGGAGGAGATAAGGCTACAGAGATGCCTGGAGGATGGAGGTTTAGTGCTTTGAGGCTGAGCAGGCCAGTGTAGGAAGGGGCTGTCCCTTCCCAAACTCACAGCACCGGTCGGCCATCCCTGGACTGACCACTAGAGGCTCCTGTCCCCACAGGGTTGTGACCAGGTGGGCTTGGTTCCTGTAGGTCTGGTTAGCTCCTGGTTTCCCCACCAAGGCAGGGCCATAGAATGAGAACAAGTGGTAGTCCAGGCTGTGTGGGGCTATCCCCACAGCCCAAACAACAAGTGGGGAAATGAAGCGAGAGGCCAGTGACTTGGGGGCAGCTGAGGGGCCTTGCCTCCTCCGTAGCTCCTTCCATCTCCCTTGGGGTGCACTCTGCTGGGCTGGGCTGGCAGTTGGGTACTTGGAATGGGGCTCCAGAGCACAGTGCTGGCCACAGAGGAGGTTTACCTGAGGTCCACTGTCCAGGGTGCCTGGGAACCAGGGGCCTGACTTAGAGTGACTCAGTCTCCTACCACCTGCCCACAGGACCAGCCCTGGTGATATCCCCAGGAGTCCAACAAGGTGGGTGATGTTGCTGGGTAGAAACCCAGCCCTGTGGGCATAGCAAGTTCTCCCATCTTTAGCACCTGATTCCCACGCTTTCCGTTTATTTTAAGGGTTCCTTCTGGAAGCTTCCATCCAAGACACTTGGAGTCACTGTCTCTGATCCTCTTAAACTGGGGCCTGGTGACCCTAAGTGTGTTTATGTGATGTCCCTGGGGAGATGGTTGACATCTCGCTCCTCTGCAGGGCCTACCCCTCCCTGTCTGATGCTGTGCTTGCTGTGAGTGACCCTTACCACCAACACACTCTGAAGACCCCCAGAGATTACTACTCACCAGGCCTCACTCTCCCCAGGGGCAGCATGGAGTTTTCCCATTCTGAAAGCACCCCGCTCAGTGATGGTCAGTGCCTGGGAGAACGGCCACAGCCATTTATGACACTGGCCTCTTGGTCACTTCCTGAGTGACTGTTGTCCCTCGTGCCAGCCAGGAGGGGACAGTTTACAAACAGCAGGCTAGAATTCAGACACAGAGCCACCAGACTCAATGTGGCTCCTTCAGGGGTGGGGGACAAATGAGCACAGACAAGAAATG